AGAAAGAAAGAAAGAAAGAAAGAAAGAAAGAAAGAAGAAAGAAAGAAAAAAGTTCTCATTGGAAACTCTCAGAAAATGATTTCTTCTCCTTAAAAGAATTAAAATAACATCAATATCCCATAAATTAGAATATTTATGTTTATATTTTAATTTGTTTTCAAAATTATTTCCTGTGATACTATTAGATTGTAGCTAGGGTATATTTTTCAAGTTCAGTGACATTTTTTCCCTTCTGTAATCTCTCTTATGCTTTTAATCACATTGAGGCAATTTTCACTTCAACTGCTTTACTGTCTGTTTCTAGCTCTTCCATCTTCCATCTGTCTGCTTCATTGTTTGCTATAATCCTGCATTGTTGAATTATGGAGCATATTCAGATTGCTGTCACTCCATGACAGTCTTTGTATACTCTTCTCACCTTCATTGTTTTTAACCTACTTTGATTAAATCATGGTTTTTTTTTTCATCTTTGTAAGTCAGATTTTGCTGTTTCTATAATTAACCCTGCAATATGATTAAGCAGCAAACACTGTGCTCAGTAAATCATTGTAGTTTGGATTTGCTTTATTTTCTTTAAAGAAGCATCTAGGCTGGGGAGTTAGCTCCACAGTCTAAGGGCCTGCCTCACAAGCATAAGGACGCGGGTTTGATACTGCAGGAGTGCTGAGCTACCACCAAGCTGGGTACGGTGGCACATGGTGGCACATGCCTGCAATACCAGGGCTGGAGAAGCTGAAACAGGAGGATCACTAGGATTCTGAGGTGCATAGCAAGACCCTGTACCAAATTCATAAATAAACGAGTAGATAAATACAAGATTAAAGATTTAATCTTCATCTGCTCCTAACCACCAGCAGATCAGACTGATTCTTTAGATGCTCATCCCTTATTTTGCTAGTGAGGTCCACTGTAACCTTTCTGCCAAAGCAGCTCCTCGCTAGCTCAGCACTGATTACCTCAGCTGTTCAGGACATTCTTTTTCTGGCTAAAGAGACCTGAAGCATCTACCTGTTCTGGGATCTAGGAATCTTCATTACTGCCAACTGCTTTTTGTCTTTTTTTCTTTTCTTCTTTCCTTTCTTTCTTTCTTTCTTTCTTTCTTTCTTTCTTTCTTTCTTTCTTTCTTTTTCTTTCTTTCTTTTTTGTATTTTAGGGAAGCGTCTACAGGGTATTCAGGGTCTCACTACTAGATTGGATTCATAGTGGTCCATCTGTTTACAGCCTCCCAAGAGCTGGGATTACAGATGTGTGCCACCATGCCCAGTCTCAATTGCTGTCTCAGAGCACCCTGGGCTGGGGATGGGGCCGGCATAGCAGGCCCATGGATCGGACCCCAGCCCCTGTGCCTGCTTGCAGGCATTTTAATCGGCTGAGCTATTTGGCTGGCCTGATGGGTTCTTTTTTCTGTCTAATAAACATGTTCTACTAAGTCATGATGGTCATTCAGCCAATATAGCAACAGCCACTGGAGGCCTCGTGCTTTGCACCACCTTCCTCCTCCCTGATCAAATTACAATTTCCTACTTCCTTTTCACAATATCCTGTTTCCTTGTTCCTGCCTCTTGCCCAGTCATTATCTCCTATGTCAACAGACTGCCCCCTAAACTGCACCTCCCTCCTTGCCCTAGGTAGCCTCTAATCCCCCTGGCAGGGCCTCAGAAGCTTCACATTTCTTCTTTCCTGTGGTCCTCCCTGTTTCTACAAT